CTAGCATAACAAAATTTACAGTATTTATTAGTTACCATATCAACATTATATAAAAAAGTGTGCCAAAATTAAAAAATCTTTTGAAGATATGAATGAACATTTATTTTACCATAGTAAAATAAAAATTCTGGCTTAAGTAAATTTTTCATCTCTGTTTTTATTAATCATTTAAAATGAGACAAATCTGCTATTATTTTAATCTCCAATCTGTTATTTATCAGTTTAGACAGTTTTTTTTTATGCTTCGCTAACTAGCAGAAGACAACAACTGGTTTTAAACTCCAGTTGCGCAGATGGGGCACGTTGTAACAAATCATTTTTGCTCGTTTATGTGGGCCGTCCCAAGCATGATTGCAATGTGTTCATTGTCAAACTCCAAAATCAGATTATTTTTCATTTTTAAAAAACACCATTATTTTATTTGAAAAAAAAAAAAATATATATATATATTTTATTAAAATATTTTAGTTTGTCTTGTATATTTTTTCATTCGATCAGATAACATTTTAAGCTGTTATATGGTCATGTTACAACGTGCCCCTCAGATGTTACAATTTACCCCACCTACGGGGCATGTTGTCACATTTTACTTCCATTTTTTGAGGGCAAAGTGACATATTTGTACTAGACAAGTGTAAAATTACTGTGGATAAAAAATTTTTTATTCTGAACCCCATGTGGATTTACACAAACTGAGAAAGTCAAAAAGTGTTACTTTGTGCCCCGCTCTCCCCTATATAAGCTCTAGGGATGCATGACATATTAGTGCTATTTCAGTTTTCGGACCATATTAGAGATTTTTTAACTTACAATTATTGGTCAGTATTAGATATTTATTTGTGCTCAATATGAATATGCATTTTCCATACTGTATATTATAAAGTTATGATGGCTAAATTAATAAGTGGACTTATGCATTGTAATTCAGGAATAAAAAGTGGTCTAGCATAGACAATACACTGCCAAACCCTGAAATGGAATGTGAAAAAAAATCAGATAGTGAACTTGCAGGTACAGACAAAGCAAGGCAGCCATTGTTGTTTAAATCAAACAATCACAATTGAACATTTGACAGATCATAACTAGATTATTCCCCCATATCCAGATCGAACTGATATAAAGCAGGGTTAAGCAATGCACCCTAAACCTGGCAGACCTAAATTAAATCTATATGCAGTTTATTCCAAAATAGGCCAGAGTTCACAAAGTACACATGCTGTAAGACACATAGAGACATTCCATTACAATGGCACACGCTCACACGCCTTGATCATATTCTTTGTACAATCATTAACACACAGTCTCACTGACCTACATCAAGTACAGAGAGTAAAGTCGGCACAGAGCCCACAATTTGATTACGTGCCAGAAGAAAATACTGTAAAAGACAAGTCCATGTTATCTGTGATGATTAGCATTTGAATTCCTGGGAAGCAGTGGATAAACTTGTTCAGGTGTTCCATCTTCCGTTATAAATTTATAGCGTACCTTTGGCCTAAATGGAAATGAAGGAAGCAAGCAAATAAACAAACTTCCTCTCATTCAGCTTTTTATACTGGCCTGAAACATGCCATCCAGATTACAAATTAAAATGTGATTCTTAAAAAAAATAAAAAAATAAAAAATCGGTTGTTACACCAAAATTTTTTTTTGAATATAATGATGATATTAGGTTCATACCTGTCAACACTCCCGTTTTTTCAGGGAGTCTCCCATATTTCACACCCATCTACCTCCCCACTCCCATTTTGTTATTTCTCCTGGAAAACTCCTGTAATTTGTATGGCCCAAACCCCAAGGTTGTCAGATCTTGTATGAAATGCATCCTACTCACACAATCAACACATCATACAAATTTCAACCCATTTGTGGCCACAACCAGGCAACCTACAACTCAGCTGAGCTGTTGATATCTGCGCATGTAGTAGCACAAAACTATTTTAATGATGTCCTTACTACCTTTCAAGGCCTTGAACGTGGTAATTACATTGCTGTCTATGGAGGGTCAAAAAGCTCTCGGATTTCATCAAAAATATCTTAATTTGTGTTCCAAAAATGAACAAAGGTCTTACGGGTTTGGAACGACATGAGGGTCAGTAATTAATGACAGAATTTTCATTTTTGGGTGAACTATTCCTTTAAGTAGGCCCCACAGGTAAACTATTAGTATCTACTGGAGGCTTGTTTAACACCCCTTCATTGATCCCCACTTCCAAGCCACTACTTAAAAAGTCTTTTAAAAAGCCACGTATGGAAATCACACACCTGAGACTGTTATCGTTCCCAAAACATTCCTCTCATGCTCTAAATTCTGGCTGAACCTTTAAACACAGCTTTCTGAGTCAAAAGGCAAAAAAAAATGCAGATAATATCTTCATATCACACATATTCCAGGTGAAAAGAACATGAGAGGGACTTGGCTAATGCTTACAATTCAAAAGACCAGGAAAGGAACTCAAGTCCTCAAGTGCATACTTCACTATCGTAGTAGCCTAAAACAGTGTGTGAAAAGAGTTGTATGTCTGAATGCATAGTATTTATGTAGTACAAATGTAGTAAGTTTGGATTACATTTAGACTACATACATTCATACTACATACCTGTTTTAAAAGCTGCAAAGTTTGTGCGCTCATGCACCTTCTCAGACAGAATGAAATTTTGGACGCAGCTCAAAACCTAATTTTGGGTCACCTAAGGCACAGCCGCACCATATATTGGAGTACTGCCCACATGGCTATGGCTTCAACTAAAGCAGCATAATTTTACTGTTCAGAACAGCCTCACATTGGGAGCGGACCTACAGTATGATGTCTAAACATGCTGTCTGGGTAGGCAGCTCACTAGGGTTTGGAACAGTGCCAATATTGCAGTGTTTTTCCATTTTCCATCTATTCCAATCCAAGTCATTTAATCTTTTAAGTGAAGTACTTTCAACAGGGAATATACATTTAGTCATCTAGCTAAATAACTGATGATTGAGCATATAAGGATCCTGATATAATAATAAATGCACTGATAATTGTGCTGTGCTACAATGAGAATAATGGCCAAACTGAGCGTATTGATCCCCCTCTCCCACACATGTCAAAACTAATGGCCATCCTCAGCACTGCTCTCATTCCATTCTCAGTCAAGCACCCTCGCTAATGAAATTCTGCTCTCCACTCTTATTCTCCACTTCTCTACCTCTTGTTCGGTTTTCGCTCTCTCTTTTGATTCAATGCATATACTGTACTAGTAGAGCGTGAAAGAGACTGGATTTAAATGTGCATCGTCTGCATGAACACCAGGTCTACGTGTCAGAAGCATGTGTTAAAACTGTTAGCCCATCAAATTAGAGAAAAAAAGCACTCAAACACCTCACTTAACTATTAAAACATTCATCACCTGGTTCCCAGGGGTGCAATGTGCAGCAGGCAAACAGCACTGAATGTATAATCAGTCTAATTATATAAGTCTAACCATATATGAGTCTAATTAACCTAAAAGGAAGCATGTTTGCACTAAATGAATGCCAATAACTTACTTTTTTTTTTTTTTTTGCACAAAAGTTTTTGCGTTTAAAAACGTGAGATCCAGGGCAGTGAATTTTAAACCCAAGGTCTATAGATGCATTTAAAAGCTGAACTAGTAGGTCACATTTTCAGAACACTGTGTCATTCGTCAGCAGCTGCAAAAGATGCAAGACGCAAGCACAATGGTCAAACATGTCCGTCTAGTGCATATTTACCTAGAAAAACATTACAGAATGTGTTTTTGTCTTTAAAAATGAGAAGCAGGGCAGTGAAATAAACCAAACAAGGTCTATAGATGTGTTAAGAGTTTAACGGTTTAATTTCAGTGCTGCATTTTTTAAATGTGCCGCGCGAGACACTGCAAAAGATGCGAGCACAACAGGCAAAAACATCCACCTCAAAAAGAGACACAGGGCAGTGCAATGACAAAAAAAGAATGTTGTGCCATTTGAGACACTGCAAAATATGCAAGACATCAAACATGTCCATCTAGTGCATGTTTACATAAAAAACAACACAAAAATGTGTTTTTGCTTTAAAAAAATGAGACAGGGTGGTGTAATGAAAAAAACTAAAGGTCTAGTGACAAGTTTTTTTTAAAGTTTAACTTCTTTTAACTTGAGTGGTTAACTGGTGTGTAATGCACAAGTGAGTACAACATTCAAACACAACTAGCATGTAGCAGTACAATGCAATGAAAAAAATGTAAAAGCCTAGAGACATGCTTATTTTAAAAAATGAGCACTGCATTTTCAAAGCAGCATGTCATGCAAGACACAGTAAAACATTCAAAAACATCTGCCTAGCGCATGTTTACATTGAAAAAACAATGGAAATGCAGTGCAGTGGAATGCAAAAACATGTTCTGTGTGAACGGCACCTAATACTAAACAATAAAACAGCACAACTAATTAGGAATTCACTCATATGTATGTTTGCATGTTTATGGTGGTCGTTACAGAGATTTGTGATCTCTCAGTGTTGTGCAAACATCGACAGAACTTTTCCTTGTCTTGTTTAGCAGAGGTCGCCGCAGGTGTACGTTTCCTCTCCATTATGCATATACCTTTCATTATGAAACACAAAGGACACAAGGACAAGCAAACACAATGCCTCTGATTACTTCTCTTCAGAGAGAGAAAGGCCAGGCACTGATGTTAAAGGAGAGAGAGGGGAAACAGGTTGGTTATGTTTTCGTTTGCTTAAGTCTAGATTGTTTTGTGTTGAAAAGGGCTCTCGTGGGAGCTACTGTGAAAGACCTCCTGGGTGGGGGGCTGTGCGTTTGAACTTCACTTTGTTTAAGAAGTTTATCCCCGCTCACCTCACTGGAGAGTCAGACTTTGATAATCACATGGGATTGTCTGTGTTGTCATCAGTCACTTTATGATCCCACCTTAAGCTTTTTATCTGACATCTGGAAGGTAAAGATATGACCACCAAAAACTAGTATATGCAGAAATCTGTTCAATTTAACATGTGACTTACCCAGAAGGAGAACACTGAAATATCTGGCCATCGCCATGGGCTATCAAACAATCATGGGCAGCTGATTTCCAGGAGCCTGAAGAAAAATTAAAGTGGTTCAGCTCACAACCAAATTGTAGCATCAGGTGCTTAAGTTATTCATACAGTGCATTCACAAGGCATTTTATATGATTCATAATTCTTTAAATTGCTTTTTACATTATCTGAACTTAAAACAACAGCATCTGACTGTGAAAAATGCATTCTTAGTATTAAAATATAGCAATATGGTGAGTTTATTACAGCTTTTGAATATCAAAGGTTCTCATTTCACAACATTTAATCATTCACTGGACACAAACAATTGCAAATATGGTTTAAAATGACACACACCTGTCAAATATAGTAAAAATTCTACATGAAAATAAACATTAACTAATAAAAATAATTAAATTAGCACGTTACTTTCACAAATTACTTATCATACATTACTTTACAAAATATATATTAGTGCACTACAGTATATAACATGCAATGCCATTTAACTAGGCATTTCACCAAATGAATATTGAACATTTAAGGCGAGAGTGAAGCCAGCTTTTGTCTGGTGGGAGCATGAGTGTGATCTGAAAAGAGGAGCCCCGGGCCCCTGGCTGCAGGCTCTTCAGTGTGCGGGTGAGAGGCGTGACAGGTCAGCTCCACCAAACACAATACAACAGCCTCCATTTCCCACACAGCTTCCACTCCATATTTCGCTGCCACAAAATCCTCTCACACTCACTCAACTACTATAGTGAACAAATTGTTTCACTGATATCAGCAAATACATCCAAAGCACAGAGCCACAAAAACAACTTAAAGCCTGATATAACAAGAGCACAAGTAATTTACCTTTTTTTTTTATTTAGTAAAAAAAGGTACATAATTTTGATTATGAAACAATGTGAAACATTTAAACTCCTTACATATTCAGAAATGAAAGAATTTACTGTCATATGAGACACACAGTCCTTAAAATAAAATCTAGACCATCATAGCACACTAAGGTATGATGCCTCCCAGATAAAGAGCACAACATGACACTGTCAAATCAAAGAGGAAGGACAAAAGGCACAGATAAAGGGAATAACAGGATGAAGACAGGATTTACAGACCCAAAACTGGCTGGCAAGGCAACAGATAATACCAGCATGACCTGCACATCACCTGCATCTGTACATTCCAAGCAAAACACGGCAGAGTCTCTGATTCTTTATTTAAATCCTTATATGTAAAATACAAGAGACATATAGTACTCACGCAAGCTGATAAATATCCTCTGGACAGGGATTTCTCAGAAAGGCTCCCTTGGAGGGACAAAAAGGCTGAGGCTGGTTGTGTGTGTGATATTCTGGTGTGTGTAAAAAAGGTGTGAGTGTGTAAAGTTAAGCACAAAAAAAAAAAACTTTACAGGCACAACTGGCCTTTCCGGACAAAAACAGAAGGACCTGCTTAAGCCAATCAGAGTGGATGGAAAACGGTTCCCCCGCCTTCAGCGCAGCAATGGGGTGAATGGAGAGCGATTCTTATTCAAATGCAGCTGTCACTCTGAAAGCCACTGTGTGAAAGGGGGAGCCGGTCTCCAGGCTGACGGAATGCACTGAACCATTCTTTAGGGGGGCGTTGAGCTGGTTAAGGGGTACAGAGGGGAGGGCAGTGATGCTTTGGCTTTCTCTGACCACACACACCTTCTTCCCTTCCAATACAACTCTGAACAGAAGGAAAAACTTGCAAGAGATGCTGAGCTGAACTGAAGATTTTGGTGCAAGGAAACATAAAAACACTATATTTACCTAGAGGAGTTATGTATTTCTTAAAATTTAGTTCATATTTTGATGCAATCATGATGGACATTCCTGAACACCATAAGCATTTTTATGCTATTACAAATAGCATTAGTTATTTAATATTTACTGAATATTCTTAAGACTGAAGTACACATTCAGGACTCAACAAAATAAAAATTGTTCTGTTGGCCATTTTGGACCAATAAATATAATAAAATAAACAACATAAAAAAATTATCAATCAATAAAACTTTATTTAAAATAAATAAATAAATTTGCTGGCCTATTTGACCCACTAGCAATTTTTTCCACTTCTGGTGGGTGAAATATATAAATATTTTATTGATAAATAAATAAATATCATCACTTTTTCTTCTTGTGCCCAACCATACAATTTTTTTAAAAAGTTCTGTAACATACTTTTGTTGTAAAGCAATGGCATGCCTTGCAAAACTGATTTGTTTGATGCTTCCAAGACTATCAATTTTGTCAAAACTTTGCCTGTCAATCAGCGTTATCTTGTTAATATATTTAAATCAGAGTTTAAACAGAGTTCGGTACGTTTACATTAGAACTAAAACAGATTAAATATTACAGAGATCAATATTAATGTATAACATATTAAAACACTCCAGTCCTTAACCTCTAAATAAAGAGACTAAACTGATGTTGGTCTTCAGTGTTCAATATAGGCTGCCAAGATATCGGAGACAGAAACTTACTCATGTACAGCACACACAGCTGTTAAGACAGCAGCTTAGTGACTTTATCTGCAAACATCAGCCATTGCAAAGACCAACCTGACCACATGAAGACAAAGACTACTAATTTATACTCACAATAAGGATGAGTGACTCATGAACAAGCGCATATGGGTGTGAAATGTGATAAACCATCTACTAGATAGACTAAAGAGAGTTAGCTCTTAGCTTTGTTACATAGCTTTGTTATGATGGTCATTGCTGGTAACTTATTTAAACATAAGGAAAATGTTTTCATTCATTCACTCACTCACTTTGTAGTGAAGTAAATAATTCAAAGCCAGCATTACCTGAATGAACTGAAGTATTTGTCTCTTCTTCTCAGTCCTTATCAGAAAATGACATGTATAAATATATGCTGCTGAGGGCTCTTCTGTCAGACAAAAACCCTCAGCAAATGTGAGACATCTGCTCCGAACAAGGCAGGTACAACATACTTCTGATATCTCAGTCTACGAGTTACTGGTGGGTTTCAGAGACATATATCCCGGAAATAGAGACATCAAATAAGCCAACCACACAAAACTGAGGTGGAGTGACAACAGAACTTAATCAATTATTGAGAAAGCACTGAAACAGAACTGATTCACAATGTAACATAAACCTCATGAGATCCAGCTCAACTTCAAGAGCTCCATCAGCCAACATGAACATACTTTTCACATGAGTAAAAATAGTCTGCAAGAGACTCTAGAATCAACAAGAAATCATAGATCTATCTGATTTGACTGCTTTTTTGTGGCATTTACGTTTGCCACGTCTAGCTGTGTGAAACCATACATGCATCTACATTTATATAATCACTTGGTGTAAGAAGGATATTGAATTTTAATTCAGAACAGCAGGCTTTGTTTTCTGTTCTTGGTTTAAAGACCATCTATCACCAACGTTAATCTCTAACCAACCTAAGTGCTCTCACATGAGCTCCATCCCTCCGGCAAGACCAAACCGTAGCCAAGAGTAAACTTAAAACCTGTGCTTACTTTCAGATTCAGTCACAGAGCTACTGCACATCCTAACACTTCCCTTTTCCATTAAACACAAATAAAAACACATTTAAGGTATAAGGAGTCAATCAATTAATTCGGTAATAATTTGGTTGATTATGCCCGAATGTCATTGAATGCTATTATGCTAATAAATTGAATGATCACCAAATATAATATTTCAATGAGTCATTTAGGCCCATAAAATGTTCCATTTGGTGATTGTACAGACGGTCAGGAAAACTGAGAGTTGTTTGAAAAGCATGAAATTTTTTCATATAAACACAATGCAAAAGATGCTCTTTCTCTTACAGCGAAAAAGCATGCTGATCTTTGAAAGTTTAGTTACAACTTTTCCTGGTGTATGACCTGAAAGGTTGCAGATCAGTGTTGGCTGAGTGTAAGAGGGAATCACTGGACAACTGTGCAAAATATCTAAGACGTGCCAAAGAAGAAGCAGCTTTTCATGACCTTTCAATTTTTGGGTGAACTATCCCTTTAAGTACTGTATGTACGTGTTTTTTATGTTCATGTTAACAGTTAATAAATAATTATAGATCATTAATAGATCATTAAATGACAATGGATAATGGAAATTCCAGAAAACTAATATCCCTAATGTATACAAAGCTGTGCCTTCATGTAACACTATAGCAGTACGTTCCTTTCATTTGGTGCGTGCAGGATGAGGAGAATCCTGAGGCCTCAGGGTTCTGAGGAGACACAGTAGTGCATGATCAAAGAACCAATTACATGTTAAAAAGAATTCCTCATGTTGCACTTGATGATCACCTTTGAACTTCCACAGAATGAAAGATTGAGAAGAAGACCAGGTCTTCCTGAGAGGGTCATTCAAGAATGTCCAGTAGAGTGACGAGTGATGTTCCGGAACTGTACAATTCCCTGCATTCCTCTCAGAATTCCTCTCCAGTCTCCACACTGATTTAAACTAGGGTAGTTGATACCAATACAAGTGAAATCCCACCATTCTCAATATTAACATTTCTAAAATTGTTCAATTAAGTAAACATTTAAACAAATAAATTGTAATTTGTTAATACTGAATTATTTGTAATAGCAGTTAACCCTATAAAGCCTACTGTATCCTATTGAATATGCAAATGTCTATGGCCTCTCAATTATAAACATGATCAGAACTTTGCTATACACAATCTGCTGCGAAATGTTTGAATATAAATGTAAGAATAACTTTTACATCATACTGAAAGTAATATTTCAAGGTGAACTATACTGGACTGTTAGCTGGACTGTTGGGACATTTTTTAGAAAAATCATGAATGTGAGTATCAAATATGATTCATCAGGCTTTTAAGGATCATTTATTTATACATCTCTCAATCATCATTGTATGGCATTAAACTATATTTTTGACCCAAAACTATTTAAAAGCATTTTAAATATCATCTTACTAATGCATATTATTGTAAGATATAGAGTGATAAGTGATATTTATATGCATTCTATGGAACTAGACTGCTGTTATAAAGATCTCCTTGATTTACAAGCGATCAGAAATGAATTTTTCTGACTATAGTACTATTCTTAGGTTCTGCATATATTTTCCAATTCTTATGTTTTATATGCATGCAGAACTTCAAATTCCATCATCATTTAATCATGTCTGACAGTGAAGAATACATCATCTGACTGATGAAACTGCTCATGTGCTGCTTCAAAAACCCGAAAATCCCAACAATCACAGGACTGACATCTTAAATAAGGCTCCAGAGAGAATGAATGGCCAGCGGCGCTATCATGAGACACAGATACGTAGAATATATTTTGACAGCTTTTCCTACAGCTGTGAGAAATTATTGCAGAGGCTTCAGACGTAATCTAGCATTTCCAAAACACGGGTTTAAACTAATCTCAAGAGTATCTGTGTTTGGGAGGGAAGATTTGCAGGTGGGATTGCTATGAGAAAGCTATCCATTAACGTTCACATTCATCTCAGTGGTGGTTACTCAACTGATGTATCCAAGATCTATTAGCTAACAAGTGCTGAAGAACCTGAAGCCCTCTTAGAGGTTTAAGACTCGTGGAACTCTTTAAACTTCACTGTCACCCACAGCAATGAGGCTAAAGGTCAAAAGAGAGACGATTAAAGCTATACTCAGAAAAACAGATCATTTCCCATGCTTTATGACTCTAGCTGTGCCTCAAGTTGCCCTGTGTGTGACTGTCAGCTTACACACCCTATTTGTCAGTCCAAAAATTCTGTAATCACCTTTAGAGCATGCATGCACATTTGATGACTCTGACAAAAGAAATGTGAAACATTTCTACAGTGTGCTGCAACAGAGGAAAAACATTCAGATTGCTGGGAATGTAGGAGAGTGTAAACAATCAGTCTTTATTGTTACAGACCAAACCACTTCAGGGTCAATGCCATGCTGATGTGACTGGGCAAAACAACTGTCAGTCTCAGTAGTTTCTAAACATTAAGAATGATAACAAAAGAATCACATTCTTGATATAATGTGACATCACACTCATTAACTCCAATTATACTGCAGACTTCACAAGCAAATGACAGCTGTCACAGTGACAAGCACATTCTGTAAAAAGACTGAATAGAACACCAGGAAAGTTAAAAAGGGTAGTTCAATAAAAATTAAACTTCTGTCATAATTTACAAACTTGCAGAATACAAAAGATGATATTTTGATATTTGCTGTCCACTGACTTCCAATATAATGACAAAAAACACAGATATTTCTCAAAACATCTTCTTTTATGTTCCACAGAAGAAACAAAACAGGTCTGGAAATGACATGAGGATGAGTAAATGATGACAGCTATCTTATCTCCATTGAACTGTTCTTACATTCAGAATAAAGTATGGAGGACATGTATGGGAACATAGAAGATCTCCGAATGTGATAAGCTGAAGAATACACATTTTCCCAATAGTGCAAGGACAGAATTCAGTTCACAGTTTAACCCTAACGTTCTGTTCAGTGTTTGAGACTCCAAGGCCAATTTAATATAATCAATTACATACTTCACTTTTTTTTTTTTTTTACAATCTTATGACAACCAATAAGAAAACAAAATTCACTGCTTACATGCATGCAACTGCAATACTTATGTGTGGGGTCACAGATATACATGATTAGATGTTTTATGATATTCATGTAGTAGTTCAATCCTGTCAACTTAAAATTTGAAAGTCTTTTTTTTTCATCTTTCTGCAATGTGTTTTTGAAAATGTCAAGAGAACATGAAGGTCTGCTCATTTTCTGATCCTGATGACAGTTCTCCATCCACAGTGCCACATGACAAATGATTTGCCACTCTTTATCTATTCTACTGTATATGAGCTTGCTTTTTTCAATCCAAGGGAAAGCGTTTTCATAACGAGTTTGTGCACTTCAGACATAGAAAGATGAAAAATGCTACGAACCTCAGTGTCTTTCATAAATCAGTCGGAATGGTAAACACTAAAACGCTACATAAAAAAGTTCCATCTCTCACACGACATGAATGTATTAGTAAAACCAAAGGAACAACAGAAAATGTGCAGCATTGCACTTGAAATAAGAAGTTCATGTAACGTAAGGGCTGCCCAGTTTCCAAAGTCGCTACTTAGCCTACTAAGGGCTTGTAACCGTTAATCTTTTTAAAATAAGATCACAACCGGTAAAAGTGCATGTAAATGAATCAAAGTGCAAAGTTAGACAGCCGAGATTTAACTCTTACCTGTGAGCTGACTCTCATAAGCAGCAGCGCTCCTCTCGCGAGCTGCGCGGCGTTCACCTGTTTATGCACAGTTCACTTGTGAAGGAGGAGTCCACGCGGTTTTTCCTCGCTCTGTGTTATAAACAGGTAAGCGAGTTTGTATGGCGACGTCATGGCTTGTGTTTTAAATAGTCACCAAAATGACTAGATTTGAGAACGTATACGCCCGTTTGTAATTTGAGAGTGGCGTGTGAGTTTTGAAATAAGTAGGCAAAGTCTTGTCTGCGTTTTGTTTTGCAGTCATTGCTAAGTTCTGTTTCATTCCTCCTGACCGCCAGCAGGGCCAGGTGTTCTGACAAATAATGCTACCTATCAGATTACGCTACCAACACTATTTATCCTACTGTAAGGGTAGGTTTAGGGTTGGGGTAGGTGTACATGTTAATAATATCATGCTGGAAGCAAAATCTGATCGGTAACACAAATCGTCAGAACACCGGCCCTGGCCAATTTGCCCTAGGCAAGATTTTACCTGGTGCCCCTTGCCTCACAGCCCATTCCACCAATAATCATTTGTGTTCAAACATTCGCACAGAAACTGCATATAGATATTTCAAAAGTGCATCTGAAGAGAGAAATGTAGGAGTATATGTGACTTTTGGGTGTTACATTTTCTTATTACAAAAGCTGATGATAGTGATACTTAGGTTTCAAGCACTACAAATGTAGGGCTTTTTCACATAGGCTGAACACCTGATGATATATTTGAATTGCTGAGATATAGATGAGTGAAACACAGCATATATAATTGCATGCAAGAAAAAAAAAGTGTTAAAATGGTGTATTCAGCCCTTATAGCTATTATAATAATTTACTGGTGGGTTGTGTGTGATAGATTCACAACGACAAAAAACAATGCTAAATACACAAAAGAAAATATGAACCAGATGGCAATTTATACAGTTTCTAATATTGTTTTTATATTGTGTTGGGTAAGTACAATGTGGGTACTTGAGCAAAAAAAACAAAAAAAAAGGGGAAAAATTTAGAAAAAAAAACTACTGGGCTAGTAAATAAGAATGATTTCAGTAGTGAGACTACAGGCCAAATTTACAATCTGCTGCCCCCCGATGGTACTGAACATCAAGTACAGATGCCTATCACAGTGCACCACTTTAACTGACTAATTTCTCAAGCCTTGTGCAAGTCTTAAATGAGGCAACAGCACAATACAAGTGCTGGAAAAAAGTTGTAATTTAGTTACAGTTTGTCTATGTCCTAAATGTCTTGCTGATCTGAGACACCTGATTTCCACAGTCCCCTTCTGTTGCTGTTTCACCTCGCCATGTGCTCATTTTGGTTGATTCTGCAATCTGCTATATGGACAAGATCAGTTCAGTCCATTATGTATCCCATAGTCAAAAAGAGGGTTATGTTTTAGAATGAGGGCAGAGATGGCCTGGTTACGCTGAGCACAGCGGAACATGTATTTCACTTCTGATAGGTGCATCAGATGATCCTGTTTCTTGAGTGTCTTCCAGTCTGTCACCCTTCTCACAATCTGTTGAAGAAGAGCAAAGTGTTACATTGCTGATTGTCTTGTTGTAAAAAATAAATTTGGGATTTCAGAGTTGAATGAGTTGGGTGTAAGTGGACCTCATTAGTTATCACCATTGAGGGCTCTGTGTTTGATTCTTGCAGTATCTGTGTAGAGCGTTGTCTCATAGCATCCCATAAGGAAACAGCACTTGTGTGATCTAAACAGACACTTAAATATCTGAAATAATTCTTATTCATTTCACACAACTTTTCTCTGATTCCATTGTTTTCAGTTTTACAAATCCAAAAACTTTGTTTATTTCCACATACATGAGGCATGTTTCTATGTACACTTCAAAAGTTTGGAGTCAGTAAGTTTTTTTTTTTTTTGCAAGAAATTAATACTTTTATTCTGTGTAAATGTGTAAAATTGGACAAAACTGACAGTAAATACATTTCTGAAGAATCATGTGACACTGAAGACTGGAGTAATGGCTGCTGAAAATTCAGCTTTAAAATTCCATATTAAAATGTATAAAAATAGAAAACAGATGTTAAATTGTAATAATATTTCACAATATTACTCTTTTTACTGTATATGCAACATCTAGACATATTTTATTATGACAAATAAACATAGCCTTGATGATGACAAGAGACTTCTTTCAAAAACATTTTTAAAAATCTTACTGACCTTTGGCAAAATAAATATGTTTTTGCTCTAAACCAGTAAATATACCCCAAAAATTAATTTCATACACAGTCATCCACCTGTACAAATAAAAAAAAATACCTTTCATGTCGTCTTTTAGCTGTGAAAACCAAGAGGGTATTTCCTTTGATCAAGAGGAAGGGCTGAGGAAATACTCTGCGGTTGATTCCCCGAACAAACTGAAAGACAGATTGCCAGCTGATCAAACAATTAAACTATCAATTAAATCATCTGAAACTGTGTACCTTCAATTTCTAAATCAAATGAAGGCCCACCATTAGCGAAAAACACACACCTGATGAGGTATTGCTTGCATTTTAGGTGGCAGTCATCCTCGATCTGTTTATTTTCCAACATCATGTTGTGTTTTGTCATTCTAAAGGAGTTTCGACAGTACAACTGTGAGCACAGAGAGGTTTTTACTCCAGACAAAAGAAAACAAATACTCAGTACATCCACCTGCCCTCTTTTGTAAAAATGTAAGAAAAGCCAAAAAATCCAGATGCAGAAGAACTCATGACATCACCCACACTTTTAACAAGAAAAGTGCAAATACAGCAAACATAGGCATATATTCTTACCTGTATTCATCTGTGAATTTCTCCCTGTACTCTTAGAAAGACTGGGAGTGACATCCAGCTGACTGACTCCAGATCAGAAGGGCCGTGCCACTCAGTTCAGACAGCAGGTTGGCTTTGACATCCATGGAGATTCTGTAACCCAGGTGACAGAAAGCACCTGATTCATCTTAGGAATGAGGGCAAATACAGTCCCATCCCCTCTAACAGTTGCCTCTGCTGTCCAGTGATAGTGGGATAGTATGTGTTGGCTCAGAAGTGATGTATGCATGTATGTTTAATGATTGACTCTAGAGCTGCGGGTCCAAACATGTCCTGTTAATCCTAAAGCTGATGAGTGAAAAAAGAGGGACACTGATGGGACAAAGTGAATTCTGTCCTACTATAATTGGCAGTCTATAGAAATGAACTGCTAATGACTTTGGTACACATGTTAAAAATAACATGTTGATAACTGTAAAATCTTCTATGTATGCTAGTTGTGACCACATATAGATTTCAGTTGCCTGTCTGTTATCATTTAATGAAACATTGTAATAGAAAAACTAAAACCTTAGAATGGAAATACCAAAAATAAGGCTGAAATCAGAATGGAAATGAACACAATCTTAAAGGGGTAGTTCATCCAAAAAATTAAAATTCTGCCATCATTTACTCACTGTCCATCAACTGTTTGGTTACCAACATTCTTCAAAATATCTTATTTTCTGCTCAACAGAAGAGAGAAACTCATACAGGTTTGGAACAAGTGAAGGGTGAGTAAATGATGACAGAATTTTCATTTTTGGGTGAACCACCCCTTTAAAATAAGCAGAATATTGATTGAATGGAATATATTAGGGCTGTCAGTTTAACGCGTTAACTTAATTAGTTATGAAAAAATAATGCGATTAAAATATTTTACCGCAGTTAACGCACTGGCCCCGCCCCCAGACCTGTACGCCATCTTACATTTCATACAGTTGACTGTTGACAAATATGATGCAGGGCAACAACTCCATAAATGCAGTTATGCCATAAAATTCAAGATACTGATGCAAAAATGCCCCTGAATGTGTTTTTGTCCCATGTTTATATCAAAAGATAAGCGATTTCACACGAGCAGCAAGAGCTAGGCTTTCACACGAGTGCCGATTTGACCCGAATACCACGAGTGCAAATGTGATTTTATACAATAGTTAAGTAAATAAGAAGTTGATATTGCATTATATTTTAACCACAATATTATGTTTTGCACAATTTTGCAGAGAACATACCTTTAAAGCCATAGCTGCAGAACTGTTGCACGTCTCCGAGCAACACAGCGGTGTTTAGTGTCAGAATGAATCCACGTTCTGAACGGATAGTGTGAAAAAATTATCAAAAAAAATTCAATTCTGTCATTATTTACTCATGTTGTTTCAAACCTTTCTTTTGTGGAACATAAAAGAAGATTTTGAAGAGTGTTGGTAACAAAGCTGTTTTGATTACCAATGACTTTCATTGTATGAACAAAAAATACTGAGATGTTTCTCAAATTATCTTCTTTTACGTTAGGCCGTTGTAGCCTAAATGTTTATGTGTAATAAATTTTATGTTGAATCAAATAAAATATTTCTTTCTAAAGCTACAATTTGTAATGTCTAATTGATACTTTCTCATTTAACACAAAAATAGCTTTAAATTATCTTTTGTGGGTATTTTCACAATCAAATTGACTTTGCGATTAATTTGATTCATTAATCAAAAACATCATGTAATAAATTAGATTTAAAAAAATTATCGATTGACAGCTTTGATATATATAATATATGTGTGTGTGTGTGTGTGTGTGTGTGTGTGTGTGTGTTTGAATTGAACTGAAGACACACTGAATGTTTTCCATTTCAATTTTTTAAGTACTTCAAAATCAACATTGATTTTAAAAGTAACTGTATATAATGCACAATAAATCTTAACACAATAAATTCCTTGCTGGAATAAATTTACAATAAAAAGCTAGTCTTTTCATCACAAACTACTTATACTACTTTACATACATACATATTACAACACATACATTCTAAATACATACTAGCAACACATTCAATAACACTCACCTGTGAGACTATGAACTCCTACAGGTCAAGACACTAAACCCAATATATGTATGTTGGACAACAGATAAAAAGGGAGATGGATATGGGAGCATTATTTGCCCTGCATTATAATCATCTGTGTAATTTTGTCTCTTTTCTGCCCTGAGACCTGGTTAATTTCTGACCTTGCTTGAGTGGTTAATAGGTTAACAAATTTTAACTTAA